CTTTAGATTTAGTGCCTGAAATCTGTGTATTTTTAAAACTAGATTTTTCTGTGGGCAGCCAATGATTATAAACCACTTCCCCAGTGGCTTCATAAATGTAAGAGATAGCAATAGAAAGTATCACTTGGTACCAAATATATTCATTTCTAAGTTTGGATGCAAAAGACTATCTAAACCTTATTAATGCACTGGAATTAACTTATGAGTGAGAAAGTGGGTTTATTATAAACTGTTGGTGCATGTGAAGCAGGAAAATTAGAAATTAGTCAAGACTTTTATTAGAGTTTATTGAAATGATAGAAGCCTTGATTAGTTGCAAACAATGGATAGAAAGTTTGGTTTAAGTGGACCCCATTAGGCCTTCTAAAAATAAATTTATGTGCAGAATCCATAAGTACATTTCTGTTGTAAAAAATTCAAATACACAGAAATATATGGAATAAAAAAATAATTTCCCTTCATTACCCTCCCAGGGGTTACCAGTGTTTGAGTTTATTCTTTAATGCTTTTTTTTTGTGCGGTTAACCTGAGTGTGAATAGGTAAAGGGTTTGTTTTGTATATATATGGGATTGCACTAAAGTAAGTAGTTTGTTTTTAAGGATAGCCTAAGTGTGTGATTATTTCAAGTATGTTTAATAAAACAAGACAGACGCTATTTTTATTTATTCCCTATTCTGTCATAAAAATGCATAAAACAATAAAAGCACCATTTTTTAAATTTATTGCTCATGACAGGATGTGTATATTTTTATGCAAGTGAAATTTAAAACTTTGGATTAAGATGTTGGAATTTTACATAGCAGTAGAGAGGCCTGCAGTTGTTAACATGAGTCTGGCTATAAAACCAGTTATTACCATTGTCAATTAAATACACCATCAATGCAAATGTTGGGTATTAAAAGCAATGAGTTTGGGCCCGGGGATTTAGCTCAGTGGTTCTGCCATTTGCCTCAAAAGCACAAGGTCCTCAGTTCAATCCCCAGTACCAAAAAAAAAAAAAAAAGCAATGAGATTGCTCAATAGATCCTCATTGGAAAAGGCCTCTAAAACACTAAAAAAAGCAAGGTGCAACACAGTTTATATAATACACTGCTACATGTTTTGAGAATATGCAAAATGTTAAAATATATGAAGGTGGATCATCATGAAGCTTAAGGTTTTTAGGGAAGTATCTTACTTTTCTCTCACTGCAGAGACAAAATACCCAACACCTAAAGTTAAAGGGAAAAGTTTGATGTAGCCCATAGTTGGTAGAGGTTTCAGTGTGTAATCAGCTGTCTCCAAGGCAGGGTGGCATGGCAGACAAGCATCACTGAGAAACAGTTTGTGGCGGGGAGAAGGTAACAAAGGACAACCACAGTTCTTTTTATCCCTTATATCTTACCCAGGCTACGTAGGACAGGTAGCACTCACGCCCTTAATCCCAGCACCCTTGACCTTAGCGTTGCACCATGAATCATTTTTAGCATCACACACTAGATCCAAGCACCTGTGAAAAAGTCCCACCTTTGACCACAGAAAGCTTTTTGAAAAAAACATCTAAACACAAAACCATAACAGGAAGTCAACTTGGTTAAAGAGGGGAGAGTATGTGTCTTGAAGTTTGTATTTTACATGTATGGACTTTAAAAATCATTATCCCTGAAGAGATAATCCATATTTGTTTACCTAATACAGAACAGTCCTAACAAAAGCAGTGTATTGATGCTAAACTATTTCCATTTTAACCTAAATTTTATGGCATAGACATCTTGAAGACCAGACCTCTGTCTCCTAGGTATATAACATTGTATCTGGCTTGTAGTGGGCCTGCTATGGTGAAGGAATAAACCTACATGCCACACAGAAAATAGGAATCCTATAAAAACTATGTTTATGTAACTTCATTGGTGTTCATCACCCAGGTTTAGGTTAAGTGTCTTGTCTTACTGTCAGCATGTAGTAGTTCAAAAGAAAGTAATCATTCTGAGCTGGAGTCAGAACTACATGAATAGCTCCAGGGAAACTGATAGCACCTATCTCACTGAGTTATAATATACATAACATAATCCGTGTAAAGCAGAATACATGTCAGGTTGGCAGAAATGAGCATAGGCATTTTAAGGCAAGTGAAAAGATAAATACAGGCAGATTGTGAGGAGCTTTTCTGTGACTTCAGGATTTAAGTTTTTATAGGCTTTAGAGGTAGGAATTGAGACAAAGCAAGACCAGTTAAAAGAAGCAACTAGAATTATTAAGATTAGTAATTTTTCAGGAGCTTATCTTACTCCTTTTTCATCTTGAAACATTTAGTCTGTTCATTCTCATCAATCTAAACTTGCTGTGTATCATCTCCCAACTATTGCTCTCAATTTTTTTGGTTTGTGAACTGATCAGTGAGGCTGTTATCTAAAAATTGCAAGATGTATTGTGGCCGATAGTTATTTCCAACCACATACTTCATGACCTTCTTTCTCATCAGTTAGGGTAGACAGTGTGTATCCAGGTCATCAGTCATAAAACAATCATTGACAGTCCTCCAACTTTCATTTCTTGCAGTTAGAGCCATGTGACCCAGTTCTGGCCGACAGGTTGAAAGCAAGTCTTGGGATATTTGTGGGAAACTTACTGAAAGATGTGTATCTAGTACTGCTTCTTGTGGATTTATCAGGCAAGAATTTTGTGGTTGCAGAGTACCATGTATAAGCAAAGTGCTAAGAACACTGCAAGGATGCTACTTTTGGTATTGACACCAAACTGCCCACAGCCTCTCCCCTCTACAGTTCTCATACAAGGAAAATACATGTTTGTCCAACTAGTTTCCTGTTGCTTACCACTACGTAATCTTAACTCTGGCTGAGAGCTGTCTGTGTGAAGGCTTACTTTCCTTCTTCCAGGTGACTCAAATGTATTACTAGCTTATAAGTACTTTTCCGGGGGCCACAGGATTTAGCTCAGTGGTTCTGACGCCTGCCTTGCAAGTGCAAGGTCCTAATTTTGATCCCCGATGCCAAAAAAAAAAAAAAAGTACTTTTCCTTTTTAAATTTGCAGATTCTTAGACCTCAAACCTGAACAATGGAACATTCTGGGTTTGGTGTTTTCCTTTAAGAACCTGGAACCTGGGATGAGGGTGTAGCTGAATGTTACCCTTGCCTGGCATGTGCAAGGCCCAAGGTTTAGTCCCTAGCACCATAAAAACAACAAAATCTTGATCCTGGACCAAATAAAAGACTTGTCTATAGAAATTTTTACTATTAGTTTTTTTCACAGGGGTGATCCTGGTTTATGCAAACATGCTGTTTCAGCTCCCAACCTTGTACGTGCCTACTTCTTTCTACTCATCTCCCCTGTCCACAGTTCTTGGGGAGTGATACTGACAATCGTCCATTTCTTCTCATGGACCACACAGCCTAAGTGCATGTCTGTTCTTCGGGTCTTATTTATTAAAGTGCTTTTTAAAATCGTAAGACCTAAATGCTTTTATCAACTTCTAATTTAGATGCAAGTAATTAAGTCCCTAGTAAACAGTTTCCTACTTCATCTGAAGGTAGTCCAAAGCCTAAGGTCTCACCAAAAAAAAAAGTGTTGTTAAAATCAGTTAATTGCCTGCCAGCCCATTTAAGTAGACTATTCAAAGGGATAGGAAGGTTAAGAATCACTCTGGCATTTTTTTTCCCTAAATGTGAAAGGTGTTACCAGAGGACTAATATATATTTAAAAGGGGTTGACCAAAGTCTCTGGTTTTCTAATAAACTATCTAAAAAGCTCTAACATGCTTATACAATGCCTGTAGCTACCCTTGGAACACTTTACTAAATAAAACTATTCTGAGGCATCCATGACACTTAGAAATGCTTATAATTTTAGGAGGGTGTCTGTGAAGGAAAGCTATTTACTTCTTTTTCAGTTATTTACACACAAAGTTTAATGAAATCTTAAAACAGTTCTAAGTGAAAGGCAGGCCCTTCTACTTAGAATTTCAGAGAAACCCCCTACTAGACATGTTTTGAGGACCAATGACTATTCTTGATATCTCACCTTTTATCCCATCCACTTTTGGAGCAACCAACTGCAAAAGATCCAAGGAGATAGACATCTTGCTTCCCATCTGGCTTCAGTGCTGACTTAGCTAAAAGATAAATGTCTATCCCTTTCTCTCCTTCCCTTCCAAGGTTTTCCCTCCAAATCTGTCTCAAAATACAGCTTTTTTTTTTATCTGTACACTGACTTATCCATTTCAGCACTAAATAAGTTTTGTTCCAGGCGCTGCTTCTTCAGGAAGCCAGACTGTCTTCAGATAGTTCATGTTGTAAGTATGTTAAACAAGTATTGGCAAAATTCTTAGGTGACCATATTTAAGGAAGCAATACAGACTGAAGAGCTGGCCACAGGGAGGACTCCTGTAATCCCATCATTCAGAAGGCTGAGGCAGAGGATCACAAGTTCAAGGCCAGCCTGGGACTTTTGTCTACAAACTCCTCCATAAAGAGGAATAACAGATTTAAGAAACTTGGGGACTAGGAGTGTACCTCAGTGATGAGAGTTTGGCAAGCATTTATGAGGCCCTAGGCTCACTTTAGCACCACAAAAAAAAGAGGAAAATATTCATTTTCAAATATTTAATATACCTGATACCTTTGCTTCCGACACTTTAGATTAGATTGGGAAAAAAATTAAAAGACCGTTAATCTATAAATTCTTAGGTATTCTGCACAGTCTCCCTTTAGTGAATGCTGAAAATATGGTAACACACCTCTGGCCATATAACTAGAAAACAATAGTTATCTACCCTGTAAGCTATAAATCGCATATGTTTTTTAGTTATACATACTAGAATTATCTTCTGGCTGGAAATATATCATGGAAACTGTTAAAGAATCTAACAAGAGGGGTCAGGGATTTAGCTCAGTGGTTCCACCACCTGCCTCTCAAGCAGAAAGTCCCGAGTTTGATCCCCAGTACCAAAAATATAAACACTTATTATTAGGTTACCCCACAACCAAAGAACCACAAGCAGAATCAAGAGACAAAATTTAATATATGCACACGGTTTTTATATAATGCAGCATCACACCATGTAGGGCATTTACTCTTATTTTATACATTCAGATATGTTTGAAACACTTCTTAAGGCTACAAAACAGAACATAGAAAAATAAACAGGAATATATTCAACACTTTAAAAAGTGATATGATAAAGAATATAAAGTACTATTTTCCTTTCAACACTTCAAAAGATATGTATATATACTTTTTTTACAAGTAACATCACAAATGATCACATCTTCACATGCTTAAGTATTATTTGTACTCAGTGTAAGGCTATTATCATTTTTCATATGTAAATTTTTCTAGCTCTGTTAACAATGCAATTTTAACCCATTCAAGTAAATTCAACCCCAAAGTTGCTGCTTCCCAGCATTAAGACATGCACCCACCCCTCTTATAAGATTTTCTAAAACTTGTATCTCAGGGGGGAAAAACCTCTTTTTAAAAATCCCTATTAATGGGAGAGTAAATGGCTGACACTAGTAGCAAAGCCTTAGTTCTTTGATGGTAACACACTGGAAGTGAATCATTTTTACCATTGTAAAAGAAAAACAATAGCATTTAGACAAAATAGGGAGCAAAATACAGTGAACAGTGTAGCCAAATATGTATTCTCTTCAGCTACACAAGAATGGACTTTGATTAGTACCCATAAATGAACAGACAAAAAGTATCTAAAACTGAAGGTAAAATAAATGAGGCAAAAATAAATATTGCTAGTTTCTAGGATGGCTGAGTATTTTCTAAACCAGAAATGGTTAGAAAGGAACTTTATTGCACCAAGTCAATCATAAGTTTGCAGTTCACAGGCATTTTAGTTCACCCTTGAGTCACAAAGAAACAACACACTGCAAGAATAAGAGCTGCATCAAATACGCATCTCAGCACTGTGGTTTGGGAAAACCAACTCCTGTCAGATGAAGACAGGGTCTGAGCTTAGGTCTGCCTTGAAAGTGGACTTGTGGGTTACCAGGAAACAACATGAGGACTACACAGCTGTTGGTATCCCAGCTGCCAAGGAGCACATGGGCAAGAACTGAAGATGTATTTGACAGGAAACAAACTTGAAGAACAGACATACACAGTACTAAAAGGAATAGGGGCTGGATTCAAGCTCAGCAAAAGCACCTAACTCAAAAACAGGTGAGCTTTGGTCAGTCTAAGCATTTGTTCTTGAAAATCTGTCTGATCATACTATAGTGATGTTTCATAATTTCCAAATCAAAATACAAATGATTCTCAATTCTTTTTGTTTCTTTTCTTATATAGAAATTCATCTCATAACAACATACAATATGACATACGGTTAATATAAAGGACAAAAGCGTACTTGGCCCTAGTTTTGACCTCAGCATAAGGCAAAAATCCCCTAGACTAATACAGTTAAAAACAAACCTAAAGGAAAAAAAACTGACCTCCCACAAAGACTGACAATTTAAAAACTATCAGAGTTCTTTTATTCCAGAGGTTACTAAGAAAAGTACCATCTGCTAAATTTCTCTTTCAGCACTGTTTCCATCATGCCCTGGAGATGAGACAGGGGAAAGAAGCAAATCAGTGTTTCCCTCAAAAGCTATAGAGTATTGTGTTGCTTAACTGAGGTAAGAGAATGACAGTGAATAACAGTATCCTTTCCTATCCAATTTTCAAACACTGCTAGAAACAGATCAAACCCCAGTCAATAAAATGAAGGACACTGGAAACCACAATTTCTTTTGGACTCCTGAGATCAAACTTATATTGAATCTGGTATTTACATAAAAATGTGATTTTCATAATAAAATTATCAGGTAAGCTAATCCTACATTTTAAAAGAAAAAAAAGCATGGGCTGAAAATAAAGGACCCTCTAAACTTCTCATTCAATAATTCAGCCAGACGCTAAGAAAAAAACTGGCATAAACAGTTCCTTCAACAACTGTCCTACCTTAGGTGATGACAAATTCCTTCCAGCAGGTTCTCCCAAGAATTCTCTTTTCCACATAACCATCCCAATCTTTACAATTTTTTCCTAGCTAGCACCATCATAATAAAATGTTCTTTCAAAGTGCTCTCTAAAATCCTATGTTATAAAATATCCAAATGCTAATAATCACTACTCAAATCAGCAGTTACACAGACATTAGGTAATTAAAACAGCACAGAGGTAAATAACCATTATTACAGTACACTGGGGATTCACTGAGCCTAGCTGACATCCAAACATTCCTACAGGTTATCAGAAAACCCAGAAAACTCATCTGCTTCAGTCTCAAATTCAAGTGAATTATATTTGCTTTAAAGTAATCTGCTTAAAAAAAAAAAAAAAAGCCAAGCCACCTCATCTATTTTTGGCTACATATATTACACATGGCATGCAAAGCAAAATCACTACATTATTTGCATAGCACTCAAACTTCCTGATTAGAAAGTAATCTCAACATAAAGAATAGATTTTCACATTGGTATGTACAAATAAGAAGCTACAGTTATTTTTTTTACAAAGTAACACAGGTACACGAATACTGTGTTAAAATTCAGAGTCCAATCTCCAAATAAGAACAGAGTGCAACATGCAAAGGGAACCTCTAGTGAATACTGCAAAGACAAGAAACAAGATCAGACATTCAATCCTAAGAGTAACAAAGCTACAAACTGCAAAGCAAAACCATTTTCTAGCAGCATCCTCTAGAAATGAACTAGAAGTCACAATCATCTTGTTTCTGCACAATTCCAGCCATGACAACTTGAACATGCAAATGTAAAGTGATACACATATCCAACGGTGCAAGAAAAAACAGTTAACTCTATAGAAACCTGTCAAGCTAAAAAGTTTTAACATTTCTTCTCACAAAATATTTAGAATCTGTCAGTGCATTAGTGTTAAAGTGGCATTACAAAACTTCTGCAGTTTTAACAGATGCAGAGTATTTCCAAAATGCATAGCATCTATATTTCTTTCGAGTAGGCACCATGATATTTACACCAGTGCTAACAATCCTGGGTGGAAACAGCCATTTCACTGGATTTCCTACTATTTCTTAAACATCTATTCTTGTATGCAATCTTAAAGTCAACAAATACTCACCAAAATTCAAAAATATACCCTATGAATATTAAAAGAACTATATACAATATTTCTAAGACACAAGTTAATAGGCTGCCTTACGTGTAATATTAAAGAGAAGACATTATTCAAGTTTGACAGATATTGAGATGAAAGGCCTTTGGGTTGGAAGCATTTTAAAAGACAACAGTGTTTTAGGCTGAGAATTGTTTGAGCCCAGTTTATGACTAAGGCATTGCATAATAAAATATACATTTCTATTTGGTGCAATGTTATGTTTTGGAATCTATACTGTGTCAAATGGTATATTTTCTTGTCACTTTAGTAAACACTATAAAGCACACATTTCCAACATTTGAAAATCAAACTTATACGAGGAAAAACCCAAACACTAAATCTATAATGGTTTATATTAAGCTGTTTATAAAAAAATACTTTAACAAACTTATTTTCTACTTTTTATGGGGGCAGTCACCCCACAGAAAGCAAACAGATTTTGAACGAAGAGAAATGGCAATACCAGAAATTCACTTGCCCCTTAGACTCATGTCCAAAATCCCATCCAGAACGGGAATGAGGTTAAAGGGGAGGGAAGGAGATAGTTCCAATTGGGGTTTTTATTTTAAGGTATTTTTTTAAAGCCTTTAAAAGGGCTTCTGCTTTAAAATACCCAAGCAACAAGCATCAAGTGTGTTGTCCCCTGTGGCCATCTCCCATGCCTGATCTCCTCCTATCTCCTCTATACGGCCGTCCTCTGACATTTCGGTGGTATTGATACCCTTCCTCTCGGCTTCGGCTTGGCTGCCCTTTCCAGGACTCCTCTCCTCTCACGTGTTGATAGCCACCCCGACCAGCATATCCCCAGTCACTTTTGTACTTCCTGCCTCCGTAAGTTTGATTATAGAACTGCTTGGATCTGCCACTTCTCAGAATATTAGAAACTTCGTTTTCATCTTCTGAACTCTCTTCTTTTGGTCTTTGCATTCTGCTATCCACAGAGTTGGCCCCAGGGCTGACCACATCAGCAGCAGTCTTAGGCTCTTTTGCTTTCTCTGGTTTTTCTTTCAGACTCTGAATGGTCCTCCTAGGCTCAAGTTCAACAGGCACAGTTTCTCTTTCTCTGTTTAGAACCTGAGTGGGAAGATGAACTTTTCCTTCTGCTCCAATAGGGGCAGAAGCCAGTGCCAGATCTGCCTTTCGTGTTTGTGATGACTGCTCCGCTCGGCCTTCAGTTTTGCTGCTTACACTTGCTTCAGGAACAGAATGTGTATCGTCACTCCTGGATTCTGAAAACTCCTCTACTGCTGTGACCGAACCACATTCTTTAGACAGATCTAGATTTTCCAAGGGCAGCTCCAATTCACCTTTCTCTTCAGAGGGCAAGACTATATTCTGCCTCATTACAGGATTTTCTATAAATCCCTGAAAAGGATACCCATACCAAACGTGAGGAAAAAAGGTGGGCGCAATGGGAACTGGGCCTAAGAATGGGTTAGGTCCAAAGGATGGCTGCGGATACATGTTCTTGCCGCTTAGTGACTCATCATATTCAGCATGAAGAAGCTGCCCAGGGTTTTCAGATTCAAGATCAGCCTGGTAAGACAACTGTCCATGACTTTCAGACACCTGAGATGGAGGGATAACCAGAGGTGAAGAAAATGTTGGCGGCCCGATCTCTGCCTGTGACATTTGACCATTGACGCTGGTCTCAGTCTGCATAGGAAAGTGTGCATCAGTACAGGTACAGTCACTTTCATTGTGAGCAGAAGCAGCTTCTTGGAACCAAGGATTATGAGGATACACGGGGACAGGGACCTTTGGGTACATCCTGCAGGCTGCCAGGTAGGCCTGGTGCAAAGGGTACAGGTAAGAATGAGGAGCCCACATCGGACAACTATATGCCTGAAAGAGACACACAACAGTAAAATAAACAAAAAGAAAAAATAATAACTTTGGTGTATTTATCCATAATTAGTACTAGGCGGCTCAAGATTCTCGTGCTTGTAAAGAAAATATAATTTATTATCCAAATACTAGATCACTGTTATACCCAACAAGAAAAGCAATTAGAAAATCAAGCTGCTAATTTAAGATTATGTTCCTTGCTCCTGTCCTGAAACCTATCCAAAATCCTAAAGCAGAGGCTCACAGGAAGCATAATCTCAATCACTGGCAGTTTGACTAGACCTGTACTCACATTCTAGCTCTTCTAATCACTCACTGACTCACTCACTCACTGTGTGACCCTCCCAGCCAATTAACTTGCCAGGGCCTACTGTACCAAGAAAATGATCTCCAATGACAGGACTCAACAATTCTAGGACCCCTCAGAGCCTCCTTTAACTAACTGCAAAGATTAAATTTAGAATTCTAATCAAAGAATGGTAATGCAAAACATGAAATACTCCAAATCCTTCCTCGGCAGGGTTTCAGCTAGAACCCAAAACACAAAGAAAATACAACCAGCCAATTGGTTAAATAAGCAATTAGATAAAGCCAACATTAACTAGATAAATACAAAACTAGGCAATGAATGCATCACACGCCTCATGAAACTGGACACTAGACCAGGAAGGTACTCCATTTCTTTTCGAAGTATCTAGAACCTAAAGAGATTAATTCAAGACAAAAGTCAGCCTAGCACTGACAGAGATGGCTTCTTTTAGGTTGATCACTTCCCACAGGACCACTCTGCGTATTAAAGAATAACCCTCCCATCTTATACAGTAATACATACTCTTACCTGTTACTTTAGTCCTTTCAACAACTGAGGCAGGTGAAAGAACTCTGATCCCATTCCATAAATAAATAAAGCTAAATTCAGAGATACTGAATGGTTTGCCCAAGACTAAAACAGTTGAAAACATTGAAGCAGAATGTCAAACCCAGATATTTCACCTAATTCCCCACTGAGAGCATTTCCGTAAGGTTGCCCAGGGACATGGTTAGTTCTTGAACATGCTCCTCCAAGGTTAAACCAATACCAAGAGAAAAGCAAGCAAAAACTGGAGCTTCTACTACCCCTCAAAACATACTGTTCTGTTCTGAAAATGCTGGTTTAAAAATGGTGAAATTTAGTGACCCTTGGAGTACTGATAGAATAGTTAACATGATGTAAACAGTAATCATTTAAAATAGTATTAAGAAAAGATACAATGTAAATACCTTCACACCAAGATTGAAGAAGAATCGAAGAATGTTCTTATCTGAAAGAGAATAATTACTCTACAAAACTATACTCCAACAAAGGTTTTATCATTCTAATCAATACAGTTCTAAAGATAATTCTACCTGCTAAAACTATGTTCTTTAACCTGTGATGTAAAACATTCAAACTGCAATATAACCAAAACCTAGGCTGTTGTTATAGGGTAATTCCAGACTCTATATGCTTCTTTCTATATTAACATCTAAACCCCAAAATGGTTTGAGATTTTTATGATTAAATGATGAATCTGTTTGAAAGACACTCAAATGCTCACTGTATTTCTTTTTCAACTTTTCTGTGGGGTTTTAAAAATTATGAAATAAAGATATTGGTGAAAATGGTAACATTTTTCCATAAACCTCACTCATTGGTAACATGATTAGTAGGATAATACTGTCCAGGTATCCATTTACCATTAGCCAGTTACCCATGGAATCAAACATCAAACCACTGAATAAAACAAATTATCCATACAAAACCAGGCAAACAGTATACAGGAAGCTGTTGCATTATCTCTTACAGTGTGACAAGAAATTTTGCAAACTACAAAATGGGGGTTCAGAGTGCTAATTCCTTAAAAATAAAAGGGGCCAGCAAATTTTAAAAGCATTTAAATAAAAACCATACAAATATGTTTCAATACCCTAATAAAAGCTATTACACATGTATTCAGTCCTCTCCAAAATTTTTTCCTTTTTCTTGCGGTGACAAAGTTTGAACCCAGAGTACTGTGCATGCTAGGCAAATGCTCTACCTATGAGCTATACCCCGAGACGCCTCCATAATTTTTTAATGAATAAAGTAACATAAGTAGTTCTCTAAACCAGAACCCTGTTAAGAAAACTTTGTAATATTCAGGTAACTGGTTAATGAAATTATTAACCTCTTACTTCAAAATGGTTTCATGGCTATTTAAAAATTACATGGGAGAGACACACACACTAAACACTAAACACAAAAAAGTTTTGCTAATAAAACCAAGCTGAGATAGAAGTGAATGAGCAATAGCCAAACCTTTGGTTTATTTCCCAAAGTCTTTCCTCTGGCTTACTAAGAAACCAGATCTCTAACTGCTATTTAATGTCTTCATTTCTGATCAACATGTTGTCATCAGCTTGAGCCACATGTGACTGTACTATTGAGCAGCTCGGGACAGTCCCATAGGCTGGTACAAGCCACCCAAAGGGAAAGTCATGCATGCACACAGCCCCACCGTGAATGTCTTCAACCTGTTTGTACCTTGATACCTAAAATCAATTAGAAAGGTCTCACCTTTAGGCAGGTCCTCCCCAGTCTGACACAGTGAATAAGGTGGTGCAATGGCTCGATCTCCTTTTTCGTTATAAGGAAACCCGGGATAGAGTGGGTCTTGGTAAAGGCTCAATGTCTGAGGCAAAGGCATTAAGGGCTGGTTAACTGCCTGTATTGACACAGGAACTGGAGAGGATGTCAAATGAGCTTGGGACACAGCAGAATCAGGTCCAGTGGTCAGAGTCTGTGTCACTGACAAAACTGGAATTTGAGCAGGGACACCTACAAAAGAGAGGTAAAGGGAATCAAAAACTAGAAAAAATTTAGCTCAGTGGTTTTGCCGCCTGCCTCACAAGCACAAGGTCCCGAGTTCAATCCCTGGTACCAAAAAAAAAAAAAAAAATTTAAATATCACAGTTTGGGCCGGGGATTTAGCTCAGCAGTTTCGCCACCTGCTGCACAAGCACAAGGACCCGAGTTCAATCCCCGGTACCAAAAAAAAAAAAAAAAAAAACTAGAAAAAAGGTGAAAATAAATTTTCCTCCAGAAATGTAAGTTTACATTACAATGCTGCACACTGACAAAACCACTAAAATGGGCTGTTAACTAAACAGCTAAAGAAGTAATTGTAGTAGTACCCCAGGGCCTCACAGACACAGAATAAGCCCAGGAAACAAGCTCTGAATCAATGTCTTCTAACTGCAGCTCTCACAAACGTTTAAGACACAGAGCCCACAGAGGTGTCCAATCAGGAGCCATCAAGGGCTGGCCTGTAGTGGAACCATCCACAGCAAACAGTAGGACTGAGAGCACACCTCTACGAACACCACGCAAATAAATGAGGCACCCCACACTGGATGCACAGGCAAGTCGAGAATCACAGAGAGCTGTGAGGCTCCACACACCTAACCAGGCTCACTCAAGAATTTGAAGTCTAGCTAAATGTGGTGGCACAAGCCTGTAATCCCAGGACTCAATAGGCTGAGGCAAAAGGATCGCCACAAGTTCAAGGCCATCCTGGGTTACATAGTGAGTTCAAGGCCAGCTTGAACAACACAGCAAGACTCTTTCAAAAAAACAGAAACAGGGCCGGGGATTTAGCTCAGTGGCACCATACCTGCCTTGCTAGGCGTAAGGTCCTGAGTTTGATCCCCAGTACCAAAAAAACCCACCAGAAACAAAAAAAATATTCTGACTTGAAAGACATTTGCTGGTTGGTCAGTTGGTTGGTGGATGGGTAGGTAGGCGGTGGGTAGGAGTTTCTAAACTGTCTCACCTGTTGGTCCAAAAGTTGTAGGTTCACTTGGCCAGGCTGGCACAGTGGCTGGTAAAGAAGGCACCGCAGGAGTTAGATGTACCTCTGGAGAAACTTCAAGGGGAGCTGGATTTGACAAAGACACATGTTCTGCTGGCTTCTTCAGAAATGAGAGGTAGAAAAAGACAATAGGACATTTTGTTGAGACACTAATTTTGATCACATGTGCCTTGAGTTGCCTGCCTTGCATAGCACTAAAGTTTAAATGGTCCTTCTGGTCTCAGAATGAAAAAAAGCACAGTAACTAAAAATAATACGCAAATAAAGCTGGACGTGGTGGTACACACCTGTAATCTCATCACTCAGGAGGCTGAGGCAGGAGGCTTGTTGGTATTTTTTAAAGGTATATGAAATAAATAAATAAATAAATAAATATGAAGTAACCATTAATGGTGCTGGTAACTGCACCATAATGGTGCACCCTAAAATGTCTTAACATATAATTCAGTTTCCTTTCAAAAATCCAGTAGTAAAGCCTATTCACCATACAACAGTAGCGCAGGATACCAAATACAAATGCAACAAAACTAAACTTCCTCAAAACCGATTTAAAAGAACAGCCGGGGGGATTTAGCTCAGTGGTTTCGCCGCCTGCTGCACAAGCGCAAGGACCCAAGTTCAATTCCCCGGTACCAAAATAAAGAACAGCCAGAAAATGGCTATAAAATAACATTCTACAAACACTGGTAATATTTTAGACTAACCAACATCAAAATAAATTATGGAAAACCAGGTGTAGTGGTACACACCTGTAATCCCAGAACTCAGAGGAGGCTGAGGCGAGAGGATTTCGAGTTTGAGGCCAGCCTGGACTACATAACAAGACCATGTCTTAAAAACCAAAAAATTTAAATAAATTATAGAAGAATCATATCTGCACTTAAATTATGTTAGAATAAATTCTCCCATGCCCCACATAAATGTCTTGTTTGTAAAAGGGCAGGAAACCCAGAAGCTGGGACACTCAAATGTCAAATATCACAACTTACTTGTTCTGCAGGAGACGGGCACTCCAATTTCTTTGACTTTGATGGTGATGAAACTCTTGTACATTTATCATCATTAAGACTCTTTGGATACCAAAGAAAAAAGAAACACAAAAAGAGGCGATTCTGTATTCCAAAGATCCAGATTATAGGATAATTGTGGTTGCCTTCATAATTCACTCTAACTGCATCTGACAGAACTCTCTCCCAACAGAAAATGTTACCCAATTACACCTGGTCTTCAACAAGCAGGTTAACTTTCCACCTATATGTCTAGATCATATCAAAATACTGAGCAGTTTTCATTTAGGCCATGGCTTCAAACAGCAAAGTGTTCTCCTCTATAACTATCAATGTACTATTAGTAGTGTGGTGGAGAGTAAAAGCTCTTTTGTCAGTTAAGGCATGTGAAGTACCTTGAACAGATGGTTGTATTTGTGAGCAACTTCCCCTCAAGTTCCACCATCCTTTCCATGTTTTTATACTTCACTACTACAATTATACAATGTTGAAATCAGGCTGAGCACAGTGCCACATGCCTGTAATCCCAGCTATTCGGGAGGCTGAGACAGGAGGACTGATTGTAAATTTGAAGCCAGTCGAGGCAACTTAGCAAGACTGTTTCCCAAAAAATTTTTTTAAATGCAGGGGATGTAGCTCAGTGGCAGAGTGCCTGTCTAGCATGTGTAAGTCCCTGGGTTCAATCACCAGTACGGAAAAAAAAATTAAAATCATTTCTCTCTTCTTTTTCTATGCTATCAGTGTCAAAGGAAAAGATTCAATTAGTATATAAAAGTTTTACCTCTGATGTGCCTGGCTCAGGTTTTTTGTCCAAGTGAGTATGTCCATGAGTAGATTCTAACAGATCAAGACAAAAATAAGGCCTCGTCAACCACCAGTCAAGATTGAAAACAACAAAATATGAAGATTTTTTAAAAATCAAAAGTACTATTTGAATCATATTTACAGTAGTCAGTGAAATCCGCAGTTTTTAGAGTAATGTTTATCATGGTTTATCCTGAATCAATGTTCCTCTCCAACAGTCAGATACTGACATTAGATAAACTACTTAACAATTTGAAAGACACTTTTATCCCAATACAATCATCCCCCCTTATCCATAGGGAATACATTCCAGTAGATGCCCAAAGCTGTGGACAGTGTCCAATTTTACATTTTTCCTGTACTGACAGTACTGACAGTTTATAAAGTAGCCACCATAAGAGATTAATAACAATAACTAATAATAAAACAGAACAATATATTGTAATAAAAGTTACACACAACATGTGGTCTTAAAATATCTTCTTATACTTTCACCTTTTCACTAAAGGAAGCGCTCTGGCTTCTCTTGGTATAATCATCACTACTCAAGTTCTGGGACAATTACTAAAACAAGCCATAGTCCGTGGCAAGTGACTGCTGGGCAGCACACACAGTGTGGATTCACTGGTCAAAAGGAAGATTCACATCCAAGTGGGAAGAAGCAGGATGGCAGAAGATCTCATTATGTTACTCACAACAGCACGTACTTTAAAACTTATGAATTATTTCTGGAATTTTCCATTTATTATTTTTAAATCACAGCTGAACTCAGGTAACTTCAACTGCAGAAAGCAAAACTGCAGATAAGGGAAAAACAGGATACAGATCTCTCTAGCTTCTGCTTTCAAATGATGAAATGACATACCTTTGTCTTTTCGTTCTTCTGTATCCATTCTCCGCCTATTCCCTTTTCTATCACTTACATGTGATGATTTTCTCTGGGCACATGAGTTGCTACTCTGAGAAGCCGACTGACTGACTGATGAGCTCTTTAAAAGGAACAAAATCCAACATTGTGTGTTAAAAATTTATAATGAATCTTACCCTTTATACTTCTAAAATCTCAAAATTCAAAGCCATACACATACTATATTGTTTGTTTTCAGACAGAGTCTCACTACGTAATTCAGTCTGGCCTTGAACTCACTATGTACCCTAGGTTGGCCATGAACTCACAGCAATCTTCCTGCCTCAGCCTCCTAAAGTGCTGGGATACAGGAATGTATCACCACACCCAACTTCAAAGCCCTATTTTTCTATTTTTCACTAATATGTGTTTGTAATACATAATTATATTCCCCCTGGGCAGTAGGTCCATGTACATAACACATCTCAATTCCTCTTGTCATCCCCTTTCCTTCCTGGTCCGCTCCCCAATTCTTGTTCCCCATTTGTAAAACATTTATCTCCCTATTTCCTGTTATCTATCTTCTATTTTGCTCTTTCTTTATATTTTGAGTTTCTTATATAAGAGAAACCATGCAATATTTACTTCTGTGTGTCTGATTTATTTCACTTTACATTATGGTCTCAAGGTGCACTCGTTTTCCTACAAATAACTCAAGTTTATCTTTCTTTAGAGTAGAGCAGTACTCCACTGTACATAAATACACTTTCTTCTTCCATTCATCTGTGATGGACCTATAGGCTGATTCCAAGATTTATCTATTATGTACTTTGCTGCTATAAACATAGCCCTATATTTTACCTGATACTACAAATGATAGCATCTAGGACCCATATTTAATTATATATATGCTCTGCATTAACAGTCTGATTAGCAACCAGACCTTCAGCCTAAATTAGTAGGGAGACTTCTTCATATGCTCAATTTCCAGAAGCCACCCTAACCAAACTTTCATCTTGCAACTTACATTCTTTGCACAAATAACAGCATCCTGTGTACCAACATTCCAAAGAAATCATTCAGAGCCACAGTCCTTTGTGAAGGAGAAGAAAATCTAAGTGCGAATTAGCAGATACAGTACAGCAGGATTCTTATCGCTGAAATGCTACTGACTGTTAGGGCAAATCACATTAGGATCTGCACAAAATGTAACCTAACTGGTGAAACAAAGAGCCTGGAGTAAGTCAGGGTTTTATGCTAAATTACGACTGAAGGTCCCTAAGTTCCTATTATAGAACTCCAAGTAAATGTTTCACCTAGGTAAGAGAATCTTAGACCTCACTTATAGATTTCTAGAAAACAAAACTGAACTACTAATATATCCAACACTGAGTCACACTCAAGAGTGTAAAAATAACGAGGACAAAGACCTCATTTTAATAACAAAAAAAATTTCAGTCTGTGCCCAAATCATAATAATTATACTTTTGACTACACACTAACTGAAAAGAGGCAAAAAGGTATGATGAATATGAGCTTAAATGATTTGTAGTTACCTATCATATTAAACACTTTTTCAACTGAGTTCCCCCTCAGACCTCTAAGAATTACACAGCTAGAAAAGAGCACTAAGAATATGAGGCTCTAATGTATCATGCTGGGGCAGTGGGACTCCGCAACACACCAGGCTATTTGCAAACACCGTTACCAATAGGGATCACAGGTCATTTGAATACCACTTACCAAGACTTCAAAGACCACAGGCACGGGGTTCCCAATACCAAGAACAAGTCAGTTATGTCTTCCCTGTCTTGACAATGAGTCCTTGTTACCTACCCAACAATGGTTTGCCCTGACTCCTCCCAAAAAAGTTAAGAAACCCAGAAGGAGAGAGAACATGTCTTTTATTGGAGAAGCAACCACACGTGAATCACAACCCAATGTTTGACACATGAAGTAAGGATTGATTATACCATAGGACTACATGTGCTGCCACCTACAACAGCAAACACTGGAAAGACAGCTCTCACTGTACGTGCCAGGATCTGGATATACTTACTGAACACTGACGAGTTTCCCAATTTTATCAATGTATCTTCCTCTGGATTAACAGTCTCATGATCACATTATTTTTGCTGGCAAATTAAGCGTGCCTTGCTTCAAAAGAAAATACTAACCACAAGTGAGCAAATCAACTTACTTGCCTAGACGCTGCCACCAACTTTTCAGTAATAGCTCTAGACCTACTCATGTAAAAAAATGTGAAAAGGAGGGAGAATATATGATCCTAAAGGTTACAGATTATTAGCCCACCATTAGAAACTATATTTAAAAGGATTTGTACGCATTAATCTTTTAAAATCTCTTTTTATACATACAGAAAGTGCTGGGAAAGCCTGCTCATCTCTGTTCTGAATTTCATAGAGTAAGCGAGATTCTTCTATGGCTTGCTTCTCTCTGCGCTCTTCCGGGGAGAGGCCAAAATAGTGAGTTTCTCGACTCATGTGATCAAAATCTTCAACTCGCTCACGGTCAGGTTTTCTGTCAAATGAAACATTCTTGTCAGAAAAAGAAAAAGGAAACAACACAAAATATACTGAGCACCTAAAATAATAGTATCTGTTTTGCAATACAAGTATTTGGCCAAGTTAACTACACTGTGACATTTCAGAACTTTTGGAAACCTAGTTAATAAAAGTTTAGCAAATAAAAACTCCTATACCATTAAGCTACCTTACACAAAAAAGGACAATGGGGGAGAAAAATAGAAACCATAAAATTCACTTCCAATATAAAATTTAAAACGCTTATATTTCTGCCTTGATGAAAAGAAAAATACGTCTTCTTTATGCCATACTCCAATACTTTTATAAGAGTTTGCTCTCCAAAAAAAGAAGCTTTACTAGTTTAGGTCTCATGAACATTCTAATGATCAGGCCGGGGATTAAGCTCAGTGGCACTGCGCCTGCCTTGCTACAGCAAGGTCCTGAGTTCGATCCCCAGTACTGAAAAAAAAAAGAGAACATTCTAATGATCAGTTCTAAATATAGGTTAATGGCCAAATAAGACACTGGGCCCATCTTGTTATTGACACCACCAAGGGAGATGGAGAGCTAAAAAGAATGTGCCAGGCTGGAGAGTAACGACACAGACAATACTGCTGTTATGTCAATGTAACTGTGCCCAGAGATGGCAGACAAACTCATGAATATAGTAGTCTATATACAACTCCAATGTTTTTATACGGTTTATAACCACTGAAAGCTATATAAGCAGTATTTCTACCATTTCTAACAATAGTTAGGACAGTCGGAAACAAAAATTCAAAATTTTCAGGAAAAATGTCATAGAACAAAAATATAATCTTCCTAAAAAGAATGGAAGTAACACACTATAATATAATCTGATTCTTTTACTTCTGAAATAAACAGCTATTGCCCATCCTCAGATGGTCTCACTCACATCCACAATCTAATTCCAACCTGGCAGATGTCAATCCCAACTGTACTAGCAAAAAGACGAGAGTGCAAATCTGGACCTTCACAATCTTACATCATGCCTTCTCAAACCTCAGTGGTAAAAGACCCACAGATAACTTAGTAAGCTGTCAGGAGTTTGGAAAATGAATACCACCTACCACTGTCTCCTACTATCCAGAAACATTACTGCTACTCTGTGGTTTTCATCTTACCCTCACGTACCACACAGAATCAACTCCTTCCTATTTTCACTAAGCTTAAAAGAGGCGTTCAGCAACATTTCCTGCACAACCACATAAACGAATGCATACATGGAGTCTTGCTTTGTCTGTGCATGTGTGTATGTGTGTGTATGGGTTTTGTTTCTCAAGAGGAAAAAATGGTATCAATGAGAAAGAGATGAGAAAGTAAGACACCACGAAGGGTTCATACCTAGTATTACAGTTCTTCTATGACTAGAATTTAAAACTGATGTGTTCATGGAAAATAAAGTGAAGATGAACACTAGCAGGCTTAAATCAATTGGATTATTAGGTATAAAAATCAAATGCTGCTTAGGTTTTAAAAAATCTTTAATATTCAATAATCAGCAATTTTCTAAATTGGTTTCAATATAGCAGTAAAATTCACCACCATACACAAAATGGAAAAGACATACTAATCTATGCTAACTGCAAACACCACTAGGTTTCTAATTCTATCAGAAGTTCTCTAAAGCTTCATGACTTAACTACCTTGTCACATACTATCAAGTGTTTTTATAAAGGAAATAATATACAGTCAACCTAAGAAAGAGAAAAGGATCCTAATAAGAAAAAGACATTCATCTAAGCATAGCATTAAAAGTATTATCAATAGTAAACATCTGAGTACTCTACCAATTCCTAGGAGACTGTAATCAACACCAGAAACACACTGAATATAAATTCAGTTTGTGATTAATAAAACAATACTTAACTAGCCATTTAGTGACTTATATGTATTTTTCTTCCTTTTTTTTCTGTGGTACTGGGATTGAATTTAGGGCCTTCACACTGAGGTACATACCCAGCCCTTTTCAAATTTTATTTTATTTTGAGACAAGGCCTCACTAAGTTGCAAGAACGCCTGCGCCGGGCTCAAGCTCGCAATCCTCTTGCCTCACTCAGCCCCCCAGAGTGCTGGCATATGACACCACACCCAGATGGCTCTATTTAATTTATTGGTTTATTTTTTTTTACTTCTTAAAACCGTAAAGAATACTCTGGTCTTCAGAGAGGGAAAATGCTTCTTTTCTCATCCATCAAAAAATGATAATTTTGGGCCGGAGATTTAGCTCAGTGGTTCCGGTGCCTGCCTCGCAAGCGCAAGGTCCCCAATTCGATCCCCAGTACCAAAATTAAAAAATGACAATTTTATTAAAGAAATTTCTGCCTATGACTTTCCAATAGTTACTTTATATTTTTAGGTTTCTGAAATTAATATTCAAAATAAGTCAATCTCTTAAATTACTTTATTTGCATATTAGGTAGGCTACCACCAGGTGCTAGTGAAGTCTGGTCAATGTCCAAACACAGTCACAAATACTTGATCAGTGATAAGAATTCCATTCGTTTGGGAGAAGTAACCCACCAGGGAACAGGGGTCCACTGCACTTTTTTGCTAGGTGTGCCCAGAATACAAGGCTCTGATCACTCTTTACCCAGGCCATTCTCAGGGTTTCTAGCAGTGAGCAACCTTGAGGGTAAGTTATGTCTTCCTTCCAACTGATTTTAGTTATTTGTTCCCGTTAGAATTTCTAGAAATCTAAATCAGACACAATGAATGGCACATACCTGTGAACCCAGGCACTCAGAAAGGTGAGGTGGGAGGATCACAAGTTCCAGGCCAGCCTGGGCAATTTAATGAGTTCCTATTTCAAAATAAGTTTTAAAAAGGGCTGAGGATGTACCTTAATGGTAGAGCACTTGCCTAGCACTCATGTGGCCCTGGGTTCAATCCCGGTACCCTGCCATACAAAAGCACTTTCTGAAAACCTAGATTATGAGTACACATATATTTCATATACATATATATAAATAATAGCTCTGAAAGGATACAGAAAAGTCTGTTAATCCTGGATGCCTCTTTAGACGAAAACCAGATCACAAAGAAAACAAATGAATAACCTTTTGGATGGTTTAGGTTCAACAATATAAATTTACTTCCTATCCTAAATACTTTAAGTCTTCTAAAATAGATCTGAAGAATTTATTATGGAGTGAATTTATCCAAAAGATATGTTCAAGTACCTAGCTCCTGGTACCTGTGTATGTGACCTTATTTAGAAAAGGTCTTTTCAGATGTAATCAAGTTGACATGAGGTCAATTGGAGTTGGGTAAAACCTAAAACCCAACATGACTAGTGTCTTGTGAGAAGAGAAAAGATAAAGACACACGGGCAGAACACCAAGTGATGATGGAAGCACAGACTGGGTTGACACACCTCCAAGCCACCAAGGAACTCCCAAAGCTTATAGGCAGTCTTAAAACATGGCCCCATGACAACAGGATTTCAGACTTCCAACCACAGAACTAGAACTTCCGTTGTTTTGTGCTAACTAGTCTACAGCACAGCCCCAGGGAACTAATACATTATTGATAAATGTCAGCCTAAGAATCTACAACTCTGTCTTGAAGATGTTAGATACCTTTAAAGACAAAATGCTAAGTACACTCCCAAGAAAAAGGAATACCCAAATACCAAAAATAAAGAGCAAAGCTTGACAAGCAAATAAGCTGATGCTACAGCTCTTCATGCACTTAGAGGGCCAATTACAGTACCTAGGACAGCACCAGCACTGCCTGCAGACAAGGCCACATGCGCATAAAGGTGTTTCTACGGAAGACACACCCTCTTGAAGAAAGCTCCACCAAAGGTCTGTAAACTACTCACAAGAAGCGTAGATTAGGGAAGAATTAAAATCCACAAAACAAGAAGTATGACCCTAAAGGTTGTCTCTGAATAGACACAATGCTGATGTTATTTCAAAGTTAAACAAACCTAAAACTTGTAGCTCCATTCAGTACTAGAGATATCACCACAAATAATCAAAATCAAGACCAAGTTTTGGTAGCTTAAATTCCTATACAAATGGGAGCATCCTCACCCTTCAAGGATTTAGGAAAGCAATTTGGAATCCAATGCGTACCATATTACAAGCAACCAGAAAACTATAAAGTACAGTACCAGGATAAGAGTAAGATTTAGCTAGAACAGAAAACTTACAAATCATCTGAAAAATATCATTCAAAAATAAAAACTGTAAGAAATTTGTTTTCCTAAAATACTTCCTTGAGTTGTTCAAAGATTATAAAGAAGTGAAATATTCACACGGTGTTTTATCAACAATACTTTGAATACTATAGTACAGACAAGTATTTGAACAAAGTACAACCACTTCCCCTTGATTTCCCATTCTCTTGCATTCAGGAAGGTTACCTTATGATCTGTGAGGGTGTCCTGCTAATATTTTTGTGCTCACTGGAAGATTTTTGAGACTGGGACCCTGAAGAATGACTAGAGAATGCATGTTGTCTTACACCCGTAGGATGCTGTAGTCGAGGAGGTAGTGCTGATGGGGCTTTGATTGGCTTGCTCGGATTCTTTGGCCCTCTGAAATCCGTGTCTGTGGTAAGAACCCAAAAAATATCTCATAATTTTCCTGTTTTGAACAACTTCAAGTACCCCATCCCTATCCCAAAGAAATGACCACTTATGAGCTCCTACCAGAATAGAAATTTTGTCCAGAACTGGAAGGTTTCTTTGTCTTTTTTCCAGACACTGTGTTCCAGCTTTCTAGAGGAGTTGGTTTGAGGTTCTTTGATCCATGTCTTCAAAAGAAGGAAAAGACAATAACCTAAAACATTCCTACTAAGAACACAAACATATTTATTGTCCACTAATGTAAGAATTTCCAGTTTTAGTTCTTACATTTAAAAAACTAGAATTCAAGTACATTTACCAATCCAGTCTTAATCCTAATCAAATAAAATAACAAGTCAAAAGCACATTTTCTAACCAAAAAAAAAGACCTTAAATATAATCTATGCAAAAAGTAATAAGGAACAACTGCCATTCTACTATTCTTTTTTTTTTTTTTTCTTTTGGTATCAGGGATTGACCTCAGGACCTTTCGCTTGCAAGGCAGGCGGTGGCACCGCTGAGCTAAAATCCCTGGACCCCATTCTACTATTCTA